TAAATTACACTTATTTTTAAAGAAAATCGGCTACTGCATTCCGATTATAATCAATAATTCAGATTTAAACATAATATTTAGAAAACTTGTTCTTAAGAAATCTAAAAATATTAATTAACATTTATATAAAATACTAAATATTTAACAAAACAAACAAATATTTGTTTTGAGTTATCTGTCTGACTAAAAAGTATTTCTCTCTGTGCATTGCAATCCGTCCACAGGTGAAGCGCCTGACCATGGGTATCGGACTGCTGCGGGGCACCGAGGACAGTCGCCCGCTGGTGCACAGCACATGCGGCTCCTCCCTGACCTCCGGATCCGGGTGCGGGTCCACTCAGACCATCTCCGACGGCTATGTGAACGAGGCCATCTGCGAGCCGGACAAGTACGTGGCCAGCAAGTTCGGCGACTCCTGCCGCCAGTCACTTTCCGCGCTGGAGAGTGCCACGCAGCGATTGCAGGTGGAGCTGCCCGCCAGCAACAAGAAGTATCTAAGGGAGACCTGCAGTGGTAGGTGCATTCTCATTGATTCCATTAACTAAAAGAAATCGGTATTTCATACTATATTTAAATCATCTTACATCTCAAAAATAATATTATAATTGCTATATTTGATTTCCCCAATTTTTTGCAGCCAACTCCAGTCCGAAACTGTTTCCTCCCCATGGTCCTTTACGCCTGGATAATCTCAGCCTGTCTGAGCAGCAGGAGCTAAAGGGCGCTGCCTGGTTTCAGGCGGGGATTCCTCGGGAAATTTCCCTGGAGGTTTTATCCCGACAGAGTCCGGGTGCGTTTCTGGTGCGGCAGAGCAGCACAAAGCCGGGCTGTTTTGCCCTTTCCCTTCGAGTGCCGCCTCCATCGCCGCGGGTGGCCCACTACCTGATCCTGAGGACGCAAAGGGGCTACAAAATTAAGGTGAGCAGTCGATCAAACATAAATGTTTTAAAAATTGTGATTATTATTATTAAATAAAAATTCTTTTGGCTCAACCTGAAGGCCCAAAAACTAGTCAAAAACAGTTAGAGCTAGAATAGAATTAAAGTAGATTTGAAAACTTAAAAGTTCTAGGTACTGAAATATTTTTGCTTTAAAATCAATGGTTTTTTTTTTAGATTCTGGTTTTAACTATAAATATAATGAAAAACCATCTGATATTCATTATAGTCATAAAACCATCTGTGTTTTATTAAATGAATTTTATTAGCTGTTTTTTCATTTTAATATCATATTAATACCCTCCTTATTTGTTCTCCAGGGTTTCACCAAGGAGTTCAGCTCGCTGAAGGCGCTAATCACGCACCACTCGGTGATGCCGGAGCTACTGCCCGTGCCGCTGACCCTGCCACGCCCCCCTAACGCCCGATCGCAGCGGCAGGCCGCTTATGGGGGCGGCAGCGGGAACGGTGGAGCGGACTTCGAGATGTACGGCTCGCTCAACGACTTTCGCAAAATGATGGCCGATTTGAATGTGTGACCGCTGGGCGCACTTAATTAATTAAGTAATTATGTCACGTTGATTGAATTAAGCTGCCCGGCTTGTCACATTGTCCGGGTCGAGACAGGATAACAATCTGTTTAATTTGCGTAATTGGCTGTGCTGACGACGGTTGACGTGGCTACCGACAAATAGGGTCCATGTGTATTCCGCCTGGCGATGGCCCACCTGTATGCCCGTCCGCCAGGTGCTACAAAAAGTGCACAAATTTTTTATTAAAATTGATAATAAAATCAGCTACGTGGGCGTTTGGGGGGAGGCGGCGGATGTGGTTGCAAGGGGGCGTGGTGTGCACACAAATATGCAATTCGCTCAAATCATTTTTGCGAAACTGATTAAAAAAGTGCAAAAACATGCAATATGTATACGCAAACAGACATCAAGTGATTATTATTTTTCGCGTTTTTATCACTTTTATTCGTTTTGTATGGTTTTGCTGAGTGGCAGGTGCAGCAGACAGACAGATCTGAATGGGGCAGTCGGATTTAATGTTAATGTTTGGGCAGGGACATCGAGAGGCGGCTGCCGGGATTTGGAGTGCTGCAATTTGGAATGGGTACAATGGATTCTGTTTGTGGTGCATTTGATGCACTCATAATGCAGATAACTAGCTAGATAGACTTATATATGAACTTAATAGTTTACCAATTATATTGTAACCCTATGTATTTTGTGTAATAAATTTAATGAAAAATTCTTAAGAAATTATATTTCAATTGTGTTTTACTAATTGCATATAAGCAATACATTAAACCATTAATTGGTATTGGCAGAATAATATTTTAAAGTGATTATGTTATATTTTAGAAACAAGTTAAATGTGTTTTTTGACTAATCAAATTTAAATTTTTCGCAACTTATCGATTACATTACTTCCTTATTTCGATCGTCTTAGCAAATTATCGGTTCGCTTACTCGCTATTCGGTGTTGAAACCCCGCTAAGACGGTTGATGACTTTGCTGTTTCTGATACTTTTCGGCGAGATAAAAGTTTCGACTTCTAGATGCCTCGCTTTGATGGAAATATCACCTATTATATGATAGGTAGCACAAATTAAAAAAAAATTGTATTTAAAGTGTAAGCTCTTTTTGAAATAAGAAATACATTATTAATTATAGTAACTTTGTGTTGCTTGCCGATTTCCTTATATATTGTATTTCAACTATAAGAAAACTACTGTTTAATTTATGGTCGATACAATTTTTAATATATTTTGTTATTAATTTCGCAGATAACTTTGCGATAAAAGATAAAAGTCCTTGATATTAATTTGCACTTATCTCCGAGGCGTACTGTACTATTTGTTACCTGCCTGTTATCGATAGTTGACGCGGTAATCGTCCGCCTATTTGCCACCACTAGCGCCAGCTGCCACCGCTTCCCGCGCATTTTCGTCGCCCAGGTAAGCCGAAATCAATTTCGCTGCACTCCTGTGTTTTCACTCGTCCATAAACTTCCGCAGCAACAACATCCAGACAACGTGGAATTCCCGCAGAAGCAGAGACCGGCATTATTTCCATTGTGAGTGCAAGAAAACACGGCATCATCCGCGGCGTCCCTAACCTTATATATTATATACACATTTTTTGCAGTTTCGGACACAAAAAATTGTGAAAATACCAGTAGAAATGCCGCGCAGAAAGGCCCTGACGAACAACAACAATGACGGCGAGTCAGAGGAACATCCTCCCAAGGCGAAGCGCGGCAGGGTCGCCTTTCATCTGGATCTGCCCCATCGGAGGACCATTGTGGGCACCGTGCTGGTCTGCGGCAACGGGGATGTGGGCCAACTGGGCCTCGGCGAGGACATCCTGGAGCGCAAGCGTCTCAGCCCGGTGGCGGGCATCCCGGATCCCGTAGACATCTCCGCTGGCGGCATGCACAACCTGGTGCTGACCAAATCGGGGGACATCTACTCCTTCGGCTGCAACGATGAGGGCGCCCTGGGTCGCGACACCAGCGAGGATGGCAGCGAATCAACGCCCGGACTGATCGATTTGCCCGGCAAGGCTTTGTGCATTTCGGCGGGAGACTCGCATTCCGCTTGTCTGCTGGAGGATGGACGCGTCTTCGCCTGGGGCTCTTTCCGGGACTCCCACGGCAACATGGGCCTCACCATCGACGGCAACAAGCGTACGCCCATCGATCTGATGGAGGGCACTGTCTGCTGCAGCATCGCCTCGGGCTCCGATCACCTGGTCATCCTGACCACGGCCGGGAAGGTCTTCACCGTGGGCTGCGCCGAACAGGGACAGTTGGGCCGACTCTCAGAGCGCTCCATCTCGGGCGAGGGTAAGTTGGTTAGTAACTATAATATTAAGCATCCGAATTAAACCATTTCGTTGTCACCCAGGTCGTCGTGGCAAGCGCGACTTGCTGCGGCCCACCCAGCTGATCATCACGCGGGCCAAACGCTTCGAAGCCATCTGGGCCACCAACTACTGCACATTCATGCGCGAATCGCAGACGCAGATCATTTGGGCCACCGGACTGAATAACTTCAAGCAGTTGGCCCACGAGACGAAGGGCAAAGAGTTCGCAGTGACGCCGATCAAGACGGAACTCAAGGATATCCTACAGATTTCCGGCGGTCAGCATCACACTGTCGTCCTGACCACAGACCTCAAGTGTTCGGTGGTGGGTCGTCCGGAGTACGGGCGCCTTGGTCTGGGCGATGTCAAGGATGTTGTGGAGAAGCCGACCCTTGTTACGAAGCTGAGTGACAAGATCGTGGCCGTGGGCTGCGGCGAAGTCTGTTCCTATGCCGTTTCCGAGGATGGCAAACTGTATTCCTGGGGCTCCGGCGTCAACAATCAACTGGGCGTTGGCGATGGAGACGACGAGCTCGAGCCAGTCGTGGTGGCGAGCAAGAACACGCAGAACAAACGGATGCTGCTCGCCTCTGGCGGTGGCCAGCATGCCCTTTTCCTCGTCGAGGCGGATAAGCAGGAGCAAAAGGAGAATATACCGGCAAAGGCGTCCGGCAGCAGCAGCAGCAGCAAAAAGGACAAGACACCGCCGCAGAACGATGCTGATAAGAAGGCCGAACAGGAGCCAACTCCAGCTCCTCCTTCCAAGAAGGCGAAGCCATCCGGCAGCAGCAGCAGCAGCACTAAAAAGGACAAGATTCCGCCGCAGGATGATGCCGAGATGGCGGCCGAAGGGGAACCGACTCCCAAAAAGGCCGAGAAAGCCAAGAAGCCGACAGCCAAACGAGGCGGAAAAAAGACATAGGATTTAGGTATAAATGCGATTACTTTCCTCCCACTTTGTTTTTCGTCACATTAAGTTTACAAACCCGTACGCTTACCTTACGCTTAAGGAATGTTTATTCTTGGTCCGGATTCGTAGTATACATAGTTCGGCGGTTTTGCTTATTACTAGTCTGCCTAACGATGAACACATTTTTCTTAACCCAACTGAATGTTTATAAATTACACTCGTTTAAAGTACGAAACCGTAGTAAATTTGTATTTAAACGCAAAATGAAACTATTTGACATTTATTTACAAACTAATCAACTTTAATTCGACATAAATAATCGGTTATTTGTTTATATAATTTACAAAAAGAGACATACATATCCTACTCACAGTGTTCTATAAGTTCTTGGCTCAGGCGTGGAGGACCGGGAGATTACCGACAAAATAGTTACAAAGATTGGGGCAGTAAGCGTGGGGTACACCATTTACTCGAATAATATCAAGACAACAACACAAAATGTTACTTTAGCATAGATCTAAAGATGTATATATAAATATGTTTATATTTAGGGTGACTCGATTTGCAGGAAAGGAACACAAATGAAGGAACCTCCGAAAGCGAAGGAATCATTATAAAATTTGGAGAAACTATAGGTAAACTGTTAGGTTTGACCCTTTATCCATTTCAAAGAAAAAAAATCCAGGCTTTTTTCATGCAAACCAATGAAGTAGGTATGAAGAATTTAATATTTCGGTTCCCACGTGCATTTTTTTTTTTAAATATCAGGCAAGGGTCAAATGTTATCATTGACATACAAATTGCAATTTCTGGCAAACAAATCGAACCACCCTGGATATCATATAAGTGTGGATTTTGGCTTGACTACGAGTAGTAACACGGCTGACGATTGCCTCTGCCTGAGTCAACTGTGGCTAGGGAGGTTGTGATGGTGGTGGTGGTGGAGTTTCCGCCGTAGTTGCTTCCCAGGTAGAAGCTCACGAACAAGATGCCGCACAGCAGCGACAGCGAAAGGACGACGCGCACCAGCTTCCTTGCGAAGGCGATGAGTCCTAGCAGATGGCCGCCGGCAGCCACGCCGCCCAGCTGCCCGTCGTCGCCGATGCCTTGACAGCTGCGACACAGCTGCAGATGCGTCTGGATCAGGGCCTCCAGGCACTCGCCATCGAACTGGTCCATGTCTTCGGCGCAGTCCAGACCCAATTCCATCAGATCGAACGCACTGGCGCAGTTACCCAGCTCAGGGCAGTCGCAATCGTGGTCTTCATTATTGTGGCTGTTGCGAGCGGCATCGTTCAGCTCCTGCCTGGTCAGATTACACGGTGAAAGTAAATATTATTTGCGCTTGGCGCACGAATACGCCGTCGCCTTGGGGCAGGTGGACGAGTGGTGGCCCATCTGCTGGTACATCAGGAATCCGAAGCCGGCAAAGAGCAGCATAAGCAGCGCCAGCGTCACATATTGCAGGTTCTGGGTAAATGCCAACTGGCGCTCCATCACCGAGGCCGGATCGTTCCCCTGTTTTCCATAGAATTTCAATATATTAATATATAAATTTACAGAATTTCAAGGCCATTTGGCCACTTACAATCGAGGATTTCTTGCCATCTACACTGGCCTTGCTGGCCTTGTTCGGACAATCCGGTGGCGCTTTCGGAGCATCGAAGCGGCAGACCAACCGGTGCTGCTCCACGTCCACCGCCGATGGGGATTTGTTCCGCCAGAGATCGGTCACATCGGAGCCACAGCATTCACTGCTCGGAGCCACCATGGCCATGACCAGGAACTTGTCCTTGCTCTCGGCACTGAGCTGGTGCTCCGACTTGAGCCATATGTTAATGGAGGCCTCCTGGTTTGGCTGGATTATTCCGCAGCGGGGTCGCACTCTGAACTTCTCCGGCGATGTGGTTTGGATCTGAAATGGTAAACGAGTTGTATCTTCAGTGTACGCTATGTGGCAACAGTATTAAAGACTCACCTTGTAGGTCACAGCCGACTTGGCAATCGACTTGAGGTTCAGCGTGGCCTCCGCATTCTTCGAGTTAAAGTTGACAAACTCCTTGGGATCTATTTGCAGCATGGCTAATCAAGAAAAGCAATATAAAGGTCCCCCGCTTGTTAGTTGTTAATAATAGGGACGTTTTTGAATATTTGTAATTTGGGTGGGGACCAGAAAATTTTGATTTAACAGAATTAAGAACTAAAATAAGGCTAGTTGCTGCTACGATATATATTTGTGACATTATGGGCATTGATAGAAAGTCGAAATTTCACAGTTAAGTCTTGGTACGAAATACGCGACTACAAATTATATGAAATATTTGTATATTTTTTAGTGTATTGAAATTCTCGATAGAAACTTTGGGCTTAGAGTTTCAAGGGATAGAAAAGGAACATAGTAGGGGATGGTTTCTTACCCTCGGATGGAGTGTGCATCTCGTTGATGTTGGACTCCTTGAGCACCAGGGGAGCGGTATTGGCAAAGGTGACCTGTCGGTTAAAAAGAAATCGTTCAAATGGCTGTCTTTTATGGTGAGTAGGATGGTTTGGCGCCGCCCCCTTATTCAGCCCCTGCGAACGTGCTTTTATGTGTCATTTTCACAAGGGCCGCCCTACTATTCTGGGCACCCTTGAGCTGGCATTATTGGCGAGGGTTCCAGTTCCACTTGTGCTGGAGGTCGTTTGGTGAATTGGATTGATTTGGTTTTCAGCCGGATGTGGGGAAAGTATGTGCGGGTCTTGTATACCTCATAATCTCATATGCATTGGAATTACGAGTTTCATCTGGGCTGTTTTATCCACCCTTATCATCACTGACCTCCGGATGCAATCTCAAACTCACGTAATAATAACGCTCTGACTCAGACATCGGTCACTTTCGCCAGTTCCCTCACAGAGTTTTCTTGACCCAAGTTCAACGACATATAGCTAAAGCCGGGCATTCAGACTTGGAGATTATTGCAATTAGTTCGCAACCACCAAAATAAACCACAGCTGGCAACCCCTAAAGCGGTGGATTGTCCAAATTTGCCTTACGGGATTCTCAAAACGCGTTAGCACATTCAATCTTTTTAACTGTTATCGTTGAGTTAAAATCGGTAAGTATTTTAATTTAAAATTTCAAGCCGAGCTTAAAGATTGCAAAAGTTTTCTAGTAACGAGATTTTTCTAAAAAATTTAAAAGAATTACATTTGCGGTCAAAATTATGGTTTTTTGGCTTATGTAAGTGGCAATTAAAAATAGTTTGGAAACGAGTTTTGAAAAAATTTGTATATTTTCGTGAAGCAAATGCTATAAACTTAATAGGTCAACTATAAAAATTATTAACAGGTATAAATTTCCTTGAAAGACCAATTTTGTTTATTGGTAAGTATTATGATATATTAAAAGAAAAGTTGTCCTACGCCTTAGTGGTATGTTTCCTTGCACAAAACACTGTCGCACTATTATTATTTTGACCGCAGTTGTATATTCATTTCTAATGGCAAACGCACATTTTAAACTGTTGTCGTTGTTGTTTTTAAATTAATAAAATTTTTTTATAGATTATCTGATTATATTACCAAACCAACATTTTATATTTTTTATAACACTGCGTTGAAATTGGTTTATTTTTTAAATTACATTTTGCAATTTAATATTAAAATCGTTAAGCTGGGATTAATGGGTGAAACAACAGAAACATCCAACGGGTCGAAAATTAAATAATGCATTCTCTTGAATTTAAACTGAACAAACAGCAGTTGTCTTTCTAAGCAAAGGCAATATACACAAGGTGAAAAAATCGTCTTGAGTAGCAAGTCAATTCGATCCGTTTCGGGTTTGTTGTGCTTTTGTTTGGTCTTTCCACGTAACGCACACATGATCACCATGGTAGACAGTCAACTTTCTGTATAATTAACCGGATAAAGTCTGCCTTGCCAGTAAATACTTGGAATTTTCGAAGGTTTATAAATGATTTATTGATTCTAAAAGGACTGACACAGATTTCTCAAGCACAATTCGATGAGTATGAACACTTAGCGAGAGGTCACCGTACACAAAACACGTACGCACACACCTTCATTTTTGGTGAAGAATGAATATCAATTGGTACAAGAACAATGCAGCTTTCGCCGCAGCTTCTCCTTTGTCTATCAGTTTATTTGTTAATAACAATTAAATATTGCAAATGCCCAAGACGACTAGCACAAGTTGGGAACAAACACGAAACGAACGTAAAATGAGGTTGCTTGTGAGGTTTTGTGACTAGTTCGCGTTGAATTCTCTCAGTTTTGCTAACAGAAATGTTAAAAATAAAGCACACCCAAAAAGCTCAGAGCTTTCGGTCGTAGCATTTGGTTCTCGTTCTCTCCGCCTTTCTCTCAGCTCTCTCTCTCGCTTTCTCTCTCGATCAGCTTCGCCCGGCTGTTGTTGTTGCTACTTCCGTCTGACGTAAAATGAACTGAAACTGTAAATGAAAGAATGAAAGTGCCGTTGCAATGAGAGAGTGCATTAAACGATGACGTCGTGTGGGTGTACGTGTGGGTGTGCCGTTGTGTGGGTTGGTGGTTGAGTGGGTGTGAGCAAGACACTGGATAATATTCGCTCTGGGAATCATTTACACATACGATACACACATAAAAAATGCTTTAATCCCTGTGGCAATGTGCGCGTTCCACTTTTTTCGGGTCAATGCTTCAGGGCCTCGAGCTGACCGCTAACCACTGACCCCAGCCAGAAACCGAAAGTTTAGCAATATGTCAAATAAAGGACTATAAATAGCTGCTGTAATATTCAGCCAACCGACTGCTGCGGGTAAAACGAGCAGCTACACTAAGACAAATAATAATATTTACAACAGCCGTAAATTAAATTGAAAATAATCGATGCATCAATAATAATACACCAATTTTCACCTTAAATGTTGATAAGGCTCATACATATGTACCCTAGGGTGGCTTAAAAAAAAAATCACAACTTATGATATTTTAAATTTTGGATTTTAATTTGCAATTGATGCACTCCAAAAATTACTCATACGTCACGTATTAATTTATTAAAATAAGTATACGTATTATTAATCAAATAGAACCGTAGTTACAAAATATGTAAATGCACAGACTAGTGCTATCAAAGCCAGTTTAAAAAGTTTTAAAAAATGATAAACAAAATTAAAACAGAAAAAAACAAGTCGAAATTAGTCAGTTGATATATGTTAAATTTCTTATATAATAATTATATTCTGTGCTTCAATCAAAACTTCTCTTAAACATTTCCTCCTAATGGTTGTAAGGGACCGGATTTCGAATTAAGGTTTTAAGCTACATTTCTGAAGTCTTTATTGAAGTGTTTTGGATCGCAGCACTTAATGTTTTTGAAAGCAGGTGAATTCAACCACAATTAAGGAAACTTTTAGTTTTTAAACCAGCCAAATCCTTTCCCTAAAAAAAAAACCTACAACAAGGCTGTAGTCCCATGTTCGACATCGCCAAGACCTGCTCAGTATTCCTAATCCTACCTAAAAGCTTGAAATAAATTAGTATTCCCCAGTGTACTGGGACAAAACCTCGTTTAGGTTAGCTTAGTGGTCAGTTGGGGACAGGCGCAACTCGCGCAGGACACGCAAACAGCGCACCCTAAATCAATACGCGTCCCAAGTCTGTGAATCAATTATGGAAAGAGCGCTTTAAGGTGGCTCGCGTGCGGTTTCGGAAAAAGCAATTAGGCGACCGAGGGACCGACTTCTTCCGGGTGCAGCCATGTCAAATGAAACACACCCCACCACCGGATACTGCTCGAGATTAAGTCTGTTGTTGTGGGTGTCCTGCTACTACATAGTATCTCCAACCCAAACCAGTATCTTACCTTCTTGTCCGCGAACTGCTCATCATCACCGGCATTGGCGGCCACCGGCTTGGCGGACTGTTTGGCCCCCGGCACAAAGCTAAATTCGTAGTTATCCTCGCCACCCCAGCTGGCCAGGCTTTTGTCCTTGGTTATATACTGGCCGATGTCCTTTTTCGATATCATTTTCAAAATCTCAACTGCTTTCGGTGGCAGCAGGGCCTTGATGACCTTAAAGGCAGCTAAAGGGAAGGTAGAGATAAGTCACGGTCACGGTTAATGTTATGGTTGAATGTGATTAGTTAGAGCAACAAATCGATTTCATATCAAGTAAATAATGACGGAATCAAGATGAAAGAAAAATCTTTAAACTACTCTAGAGCTGAGAACGATTATCTGCTAGTAGTAATTCATATTGAAAGAAAAATATTATTCTTGATATTAGATTAATTTATTCCATGCAGTACCTACCATTTAGCACCCAGGCCAGTTCGAACACCAAAATGTAATTCAGGGAATTAGGATAGTACTGCTTGAATGTCTCGACAATCCGCTTAACGAAATCCAAGTCCATGGAGGCCAATCCAGTGCCCGCCATGTCAAAGAATATGGTCAGCTTTGTCAAATGCTGCTCCCGCTGGGTTCTCTCCACCCAGTACACTACGATGCGGATCAGGTCATCCAGATTCTTGGATTTACTATGAAGCTTAACGCGGAATACCAACAGGGGCGTGGCATCGATATCAGTGCTGTGCACAAATACTGATCCCTCCTTTAGATATTCCTGGTTCAACTGGCTCTCGTCGAGATCATTGGCACCATATGATTGGCGCCAGGCACACGTCTGCCACAAATTATTAAATGCCGTATCCATGTCAAGATCATACATTTCCAGGAATCGCTGTAGCCAAAGATTTTCGTTGCGAATGCGATCAAGATCCACTGGATGGAAGGGTACTAACAGCGGATCAGGCCATGTAAAGTAATAAAAAGATTTTTACAGTCTTATCGATGGTTACTCGAACGCTTTTGTGCTTAAGAAAATATTTTGACTAGATAATAAGTTTCAGATATGATATATATTTGCTTTGGGTTACAATATACTGTTCCCACGAACTGTTATTTCTTATTAATGTGCTTTTGATGTTTCACATTCATGAATATTTAATCAACTTTTACATACGACGTGCCAGAATCAAAGTTTATAAAAACAAGAAAGAAAGCAAACTTCGGCAAGCCGAAGTTCATATACCCTTGCAGCTATCGCAAGAATTAAATATTTTTGAAAACATTAAAATTATGATTTACTTGCGTATATGTTTAAAAACATTGAAGCTATGACGATTTGCAGCTTAATTATTTGATTGTTCTTTTATATATTTTTATTATTTGTATGGGAGCTATATGATATAGTCGTCCGATTTTGATGAAATTTAAACCATAATTCTGAAATATTTAACCATTGCAGTATGTCGAAGAACTAAACAAAAATTTAAAAAACAGCAAAGTTACAATTTTTTTTTCAATTATTTTTCCGATTGTTCCTATGGGAGCTATATGCTATAGTCGTCCGATTTTGATGAAATTTTAACCATAATTCTGAAATATTTAACCATTGCTTTATGTCGAAGAACAAAACAAAAAATTAAAAAACAGCAAAGTTATAATTTTTTTTCAATTATTTTTCCGATTGTTCCTATGGGAGCTATATGCTATAGTCGTCCGATCCGGCTCGTTCCGACTTATATACTACCTGCAATAGAAAGACAACTTTTGGGAAAGTTTCATGCAGATAGCTTTAAAACTGAGAGACTAGTTTGCATATAAACGGACGGACAGACGGACAGACTGACAGACGGACAGACGGACAGACGGACAGACGGACGGACAGACGGACATGGCTAGATCGACTCTACTAGTGATGCTGATCAAGAATATATATACTTTATAGGGTCGGAAACGTCTCCTTCACTGCGTTGCAAACTTCTGACTGAAATTATAATACCCTCTGCAAGGGTATAAAGATAAGGAGCGAGTTGATAACAGCATAGGGCACAAGTGTTGGTTAAAGGTGTGTACTGTTTTTTAGAAGAAGCTTGGAAACTAAATGTTGGACTTTCAAAACACCACAAGTCTAAAAGTAAACATTAAGAAAATTTGCACTTATCAGTATTGAGGTAACTCTTCAATCAATGAGAGCTATTTTAAAATATTCTACTAGGTTGCGTTAAACTTTGGCCCCAGCCACTTAACCTTCTGCCCATGATAGGCAGTTATACGGAAGTCCATATACTATATGCCTTAACTATTTCTATATATAGTTCCTCAGGTAGCTATAGCTTAGGTCTCAAGTTCAGAGCTTTCGTTTAAGTGCACTTCAGGCAGACTAATCGATGCACTAGGCAGGGCTGTTTAATTTATTCATTGACTAAATGGCAAATTTGCACTACAAATAAGCCAAACCGAATGTATAATATAAACAAACTATTAACAGAACACTGCTATATCTCAACTTATTATCGAATAAAACACAAATGACCATAAACTGAAGCACAGCTAACGAACGTTGCACTTTGGATCCGACGGGTGTTTTGGATTATCTCACCTGCGGGCGGTGATGAGGCATATTTGCTGTTAAACCTTTCGCGCAGCTCCTCGATTTGCCCGGGGGTCGTCTCCTTGACCTTGATGCCCATGCCGCCGGCTAGTTAACACACTCGTTCACAACCAAAATCGTGGACAGACTAAACATTAAGATTTAATTCCGATCGAAGGGGGCAATTTGGTATGCCAATCGCTTCGCTTTTAATCTGAAATCCACTTTCACTGCGATTAGATTGGGCCCACAAATAAAGTGCTCAACTTGGAACACAGGTGAAGGTACAACAGCGAGCTATCCAAGTGCGTTCCACGAGCGTGCGCGGCTAACTGAATGAGCTACTAACGGTGTCGACAGCGGCTATCCACGCTGGGGATATAGGTATATCGCCACGATCGTTGGCAGTCGGTTGGCGTACGGATCGAATGTGGAGCACCTGGTTCTCCGCGGTACTATAATGGGCCTCCCAAAAGGGCAACCCACAACCCACCCACCCCCGTACTGCTGCAATGGAACGTGATCGCGTGGGAGGTATACCACCTGCATTACAATTACCTCCAAACGCTTGAGCGAAAACATTGTACTACTGAAAGCTTTTGAAGCTTTTCGCTGGAGTGATTAAACAAACGGCGAATTCCGGGCAATAAATATCGTACTATTTACACTATCATACAAAGTTTAAGGCATTTTTAGGCAAATTTATAAACGTATTCGTCATTGCCACCCCAGATCTTCAGGCAGTTGTCCTTGTCCACATACTGATCGATGTCCTTTTTGGTCGTCACTTTCAGAATCTTCAGAGCTTCGGCGGGCAGGAAGGTCTTGACAATTTTGAAGGCAGCTAAGGACAGAAAACAAACCAAATATAATATTGATACAAATAAAAACATCAAAAAAACATACCATTCAAGAGGAAAGGCAAGTCATGCACCAGAATGTAGTTGGGCACATAGGGGTATTTGGTCTCGAACACGCCGATAATACTCTTGATGAAGTCCAGATCCAAGTTGCTCAGACCGGAGTCAGTCATGTCCATGAAAAGGGTCATCTTATCCAGGTTGCTCTCGCGCTGCAATCGCTCAACCCAGAAGACCAGGATGCGCATCAGATCCTCCTGACTCCGACTCTTCGAGTGCTTGTTGATGGTGAGGATCAGCAGGGGTTTTCCGTCCCTGTCCTTGTTGTGGACAAAGATGGAGCCATCGTTGAGGTACTCCTGATTTAAGTTCCCCTCGTTGATGTCGTACACTCCAAAGCTCTTACGCCAGGCGAGATTGTCCCACAATCTGGTGATCGTTTTCTCCACATCAAAGTCATATACCTGCAGCAGTTTGGTGATCCATAGGTCACTGTCGTTAATGCGCTTCAGATCGTTGGGATGGAAGGGTTCTATTTTGGTAATATACATGTTAGATTGATTAGATCTGATTACTTTTACCTATTTGGCTTACCTGCTGGTGGCTCCTTCTCCAGTTTCTGGAGAATGCTAGTCTTGACTTGGCTAATCTGCTCGGCAGTGGGTTCCTGATCTGAGGGCATATTGCTGCTTGGGTGTACGCGCACCAACTGAAATGTCGCCTGCGGTGGAGTCTAAATTTATACCAATAGATTTTCCTTATCTACCCCTTAACTGTTAGGAGTTCTGGGGAGGAAGTATGAAGTATTCTTAATCTGCGAGCGGGATGACTGGCCAGTGAGCGGACTACTCAACGACTGACAGCCAGCTCTGGCCCCAAACGTCAGCCGTTTCGCTCGCCGGGAGCGTTTTATTTGTTCTCCAATTGTGCTCTGCTTTCCAGACGATCATGTAAATGACTCAATGCGGGTGGCGGTCGGGCGGTGGCAACCGCACTGCCGCCCCTTCTTCAATCAATAATAAAAAAAAAGACAAACACATTACCCGCAGACCAGTCCGGGGGGGGGCAATCAAAGAGGGCCCAGGCAATTGCGATAAGCGGAATAAGCTCGGGAACTGGTAATGTTTATGGTTTGTGCAGGCGACTCTTTGGGAACTTGCTTTTTATTGCTCTAGCTGTGCTTTTTTTCCATATATGACGTATCCACTAGTTCTGTATACACATCTTAACTGGGGGGCTGGGGAAATTCTCTGTGGTTTTCCTTGATTCGATATAGTAAGCTTAGTCTACTGTGCTCATTTATTCCCTTCAAATGCCAGTCGATGATTGCGGTAGCCGTAATTGATATCAAATCGTAGGGCTTTGCTTTTATTACAGTAATTTCTTTTATTTTCTTAACAAGGGAAATTTATCAATTAGTTTTATGTAGCAAATATATATACAAGTGCAAAAATAGTCCATACATATATTAATCTTATCAACCTATGAACTGAATTTGTTTCTTTGCTTTTTTTATAACCCAGATATAGGGATGAAATGTGTTCGTTGCAATAATTGCAGTAATTAAGTTTTTATTGTCATCATTAGATGCTGACACTCTCCTGATTTTTGAACTATTGTGCTTTAAAAATAGTAATGAACTTTAAACTCTTGTGTGAGCAAATTGTTAATTTACTTTTTCAAATTTAGTTCCATGTGAATGTATGTATGATATATATAAATTGCTATCAGCAATCCGATTTAAATTTGTATGTATGTATATATTGTTATCAGCAATCCGAATTAAATTTGTTTTACTGCTTGTTTTTATTACCCAGATAGAGAGTTTAAAGGTCTTCTATTATTATTTTTAAACGAATGCCAAGCAGTTGCTTATATACTTTTTTTAATGGCGTTATTAATAACTTGAAATACGACATGGTAGTTATATTGCTAAACAGCTGCTGGTTAAATGTTTATACCCGTTACTCGAGTAAAAGGGTATGTTGTATTCTGTGAACAGTATGTAACAGGTAGAAGAAGGTGTTTATAGTATATGTATGCCTTCTTGAGAACATTTTCCTACCGATGGCGCCACCTAATCCCATATATTTACCGGGGGTATATTTCTTATGAAATTGATTGGCTAACTGACGGGTATCAAATAGCCGGGACACTCGACTATATCGTTTCTTCTTGTTATATTTCATATTATGAGTCAGACTAAAGAAACAATGCGTTTTGGTAATAATGCATTTGATTTACAACGCAAACTTTTGGAATTTTAATTAGTTTGCAAAATGTATGAATTAGATAATTTAATCAAATAAAATCAATTTTTGAACTCAATATGTGTTGCGCTTTTGTTATTGTTGACATTGAACACGAATGAGAGGAACGGAACGAGCGGACAAAAACAAAACCGAAGCCATTTACATACATATCGAAAGCTCGAAGCCCCGTGCATCCGCAGCCCCCGCCATTTGGACCATCCGACATCGACAGCGACGTCCAAGAACTTTTCTGGCCCAGTTGTGATGTTTACGTGAAAACGTGCGTTCGAAGCGACCACGTCCTCGCCGTTCAGCCGGATGCGGATGCAGTGCAGCCAGTTGTGAGATCCCCAAAGTCCCCGAGATGAAGTTCGCCGAACACCTGACGGCCCACATAACGCCGGAATGGCGAAAGCAGTACATTAACTATGAGGTGAGTGCCGCAAATCGACGGATCCGAGGTGCGGAAAAATCTGTATCCGTGTAGATACACGGACGAGTGTGCTTTTCCCGCTGTCATTTTACCAGCTGTGACGTCATGTCCCCAACAGCTGATTTTTGGCCCAACTGTCAAATGGTGGAGCTTTCAACGCGCATGCGCCTTAAATAGCGGCATTATGTGTTTTGCTCTTCTCGGACGTAAACAAATCGAAAGGGGATGGGAAGACGGGGCAAGGAAAGTGGAACATAAACGATGGCCAAGATGAGCGGGGGTTGTATGAAAACAGTCAGGTACAAAAGTAAAGTTCACATTGGTATAATTTAAATATTTTATAAAAAATTCACAACCGATATAAGAAATGTGGCATGGCAATAACATTTGGCTACAAAACTACAATTTAAAGAGATAGTTTAAAGTAAGGTATTTCCGTAAATAATAGGTTTTTGGCAATAATATTAATTATTAATTAATGTTCTTTTATATTTTAGGAGATGAAAGCCATGCTTTATGCGGCCATCGAACAATCGCCATCCGCTGAGCTCGTGGAGCGCGAGATGGTGACCCGCTACTTTGCCAAATTCGATGAGGAGTTCTTTCACTACTGCGACAAGGAGCTGGCCAAGATCAACACATTCTACTCGGAGAAGATGGCCGAGGCGACTCGCAAATACGGCAGTCTGCGCAGCGAATTGACCGAGGCCCTGGAGATGGGCCATCCGAAGAAACAACCGGCGTGGAAGAGGCGAACGCCGCTGGGCAAGAAGAATGTGCCGGCGCGCAAGATACAGGATCTCAAGTTGGCATTTAGTGAATTCTATCTGGGGCTGATACTGCTCCAGAACTACCAGAACCTCAACTTCACGGGTTTCCGTAAGATACTTAAGAAACATGACAAGCTGCTGAGCGTCGATTATGGTGCACGTTGGCGCACGGATCACGTGGAGGCGGCGCACTTCTACACCAACAAGGACATCGATCGGCTGATCCAGGAAACGGAGCAGGCCGTTACGCAGGACATCGAGGGCGGTGATCGACAGAGGGCGATGAAGCGGTTGCGGGTGCCGCCGTTGGGCGAGCAGCAGAGCCCATGGACCACCTTCAAGGTGGGCCTCTTCTCCGGCGCCTTTGTGGTCCTCTTCATAACGGTTGTGATTGCGGCCATGTTCTACGGCTTTGGGGAGAACTGGCGGGCGGGAATGAGGATGTTCCGTGCGCCATTCCTCATCATCGAATGCCTGTTCCTCTGGGGCGTCAACGTCTACGGCTGGAGATCATCGGGTGTGAATCACGTCCTTATCTTCGAGTTGGATCCGCGCAATCACCTGTCCGAACAGAACATCATGGAGGTGGCTTCAGTCTTTGGCGTCATCTGGGCCATCTGTGTGCTGAGCTACATTTTTTGCGATCCACTGGGCATTCCGCAGTACGCAGCTCCACTGTGCCTCTACACACTGATGGCCGCCTTCTTGCTCAATCCCACAAAGACTTTCCATCATGAGGCCCGATACTGGGCCTTGAGAGTACTGATTCGAGTGGTCATGGCGCCGTTCTGCTTCGTTAACTTTGCCGATTTCTGGCTGGCCGATCAGCTGAACAGCATGGTACCGGCATTCCTGGACATACCCTTCCTCATTTGCTTCTTTGGTCGGAGTCCCACATGGCACAAGGCTGGAAAAGGTAAGTGAGGCAGGATTTATTGTGAAATAAAATTAAACTATCTATGGAGTTGCACATAGACATTATTTTCACCTTTTAGTTCCTATGTCATGTTTAATCCATTTAT